GTGGAGGTGGGTGTGGGGGTGGAGGCGGGCTCCTTGTTGGTCTGTCTGTTCTGTCTGTCGCGCTTCAACTTCTCCCCGCTCATTATCGCCTTTATGTCATCCGCGTCCAATGTCTCGTACCTGTCACATACATTACACACACGTCACGACAAATATTATTTCTCACTCGTTAGAATTTCTGAATAGCGATATTTCTTATTGCGATCAACAGTAGAATTGTACGAGAACATTTAGGTTGAGTTTTAAAAGTTGCACACAAAATTGTTAATATATCTTTAAGGTTAATATAAATATAGATCGAGAAGATCAATTAAATTGTTAGTACTATGGTTTCCACAACTACATCTCATAAGCAGGCAACGTATCAGCAGTTCCTTAAGTGGATATCTATGACGATACTGGAAGAACTAGGAATTCCTTATTATTATTGTGTATATCAGCAGTGTCAGTATGTAATGTTGATTACTTGAGCAGTGCGTCTGAGAGCGCCTTGTGCTCCTTCGCGTGCGCGCGCAGGATGGCCTTCGCGCGCTCGTAGCTCTCTGACAGCAACTTCTTTATCTCTCCGTCCACCTGACATAACAAAATGACTCAATTTAGACAATCAGATCTTGTGACAATATTTAACATTAACAGTAAAATAAAGCTTACCAGCTCGTTGGTGTATGGGCCGATGGTCTCTGCGGGGGCGAGTGCGCCGCGCGGGGGCTCCAGTGCGCGCAGCCCCACCTTCTCGCTCATGCCCCACTCACGCACCATGTGGCATGCGATAGACGTCGCCTGCTTCAGGTCAGATGATCCTCCTGAATACCACCAAATGTCCAATGTAACCCATTTAATTCAATATTCTATATAATGTCGCTTTTTAGCTTTTGCCCAAGCAAAATTTAGAACAACTGAATTAGTAGCACATGTGTATTCCAGGCTTCCGTTTAGCTGTTCTGGAGATACTTTCTAACAAACATCTAACCATCCCAACTTTCGCATTTATGATATAAGTAAGATAATCTGGATGGTTACCGGATGTGATCTTGTCAGGGCCGAAGACGAGCTCCTCAGCGGCGCGGCCCCCCATCATGGTGTCCATCATGGCCAGCAGCTGCTGCTTCGTCACGTGGTATCTGCGCACACAACACACACTCAATATGTCACTCGGGACACGTGTCACAAGTATCACAAGTACAGCAGTGCAAGTAATAAAATGTGTACCTCTCCTTGGCAGGTATGTACGCGGTGTGACCGAGCGAGGGTCCGCGCGGGATTATTGTCACCTTGTGCAGCGGGTGCGCGTCCTGAAACAATCCACCTCACACTTATTTATATGCAATATCATTCGTTTTTTTTTAATCCTCATAGAAAAAAGAACGAAAAGTAAATAAAAAAAACGGACAATGGAATTGTTTCAGAATTACTACACGACTGTTGCCTGCGACTAAAAACAAACTGAATTACTTAATAAGTAGTCTATGTGTTCTTCTTGTATCTGTACTACATTTATGCCAAATTTTATAGAGATCCATACAGCAATACTAGAAATATCTTGTAACATCCATCCATCCATATTTACAATAAAGGTGTATGTATGACCTTGGTGTAGTAAGCGACGACGGCGTGTCCTCCCTCATGGCAGGCAGTGATGGCGTTGGCCTCGTCATCCGGCAGCCGGGAGCGGCGCGCGGGGCCCATCAGCAGCTTGTCGCGCGCCTCCTCCAAGTGACCCATTGACACCGTCTGCGCGCCCTCCACTGCTGCCCTGCAACACACATGTTACATTCACTGTTCATATAGCATTCCAATAGTGAAACAATTATTACTCTTCAAATAGTGTTATTGTATTTATAATATATTGTAGTGTGCAGGTACTTGAGCGCGGCCTGGTTGACCATGCTCTCGAGGTCAGCGCCGGTGAAGCCGGTGGTGCCGCGGGCGAGCGTCTCCACGTCCACGTCGGGCTGCGCAGCCACACGCGCCACGTACATCCGCAGGATCTCCACACGACCACCGTAGTCCGGCGTCGGTACTGACACCTGCCACACACACATACATTAAAATTATACTGACCACATGTATTCGCCCAAATAGCGAAGCAACCGCTACCCATAGACATTTGCAATTGCAGACACCTATTATCAACGGACAGGACGCACAGAATAAGAATATATGTGGCTTTGCAAATATACAGTTTTCTACTAGTAAAACAACTACTATTAGTAAGTGACCTCGACGTCGAAGCGTCCTGGTCTGAGCAGCGCCTGGTCGAGGTCGTCGCGGCGGTTGGTGGCGCCCAGCACTATCACACCCTCGTTCTGGTGGAAGCCGTCCATCTCCGACAGCAGCTGGTTGATCGTCTGCAACATGTTACATACCACTGAGATATATCTCTAAAATCATTTCACTTCTAGTATCATTTTTATTAATTAAATTTGTCTATGGAATTGAACGTGTTACTTATTTTGGAGCGCAAAAGAGGTTTCAAAACTTATAGTTATATGTTTTTTCTTCCGTACAGCTTGAGGTATTTTAGTAAAATAGTTATTGAATAATATGAAACCTTATATTTTTAAATTCTTTTTTTTTATCTGGAAGGATATAACTTGCTATAAATTGCTTGATTGCTTCATACCTGGTTGGCGTATGGATGCAACACGCTGTTGGTTCTCTTCGCACCCACGGAGTCAATCTCGTCGATAAATATTACGCAAGGCGCACGTTCTTTAGCCGCTTCTGTGTTAACAAGCAGAAACATGTATAAAAACATATTGTATATATTCTCCATTCTCTTTGTAGTTTCGTGCATATTTGGGCAATAGTTACGTTGGCCTTGTTACATAAACAGGTGTAAAAAAGCAGCTGTGGTAAGAACAGCTGTTTTTTTATATTTATTGACTATTTACATAATAATTTAAATGAAAATATCTAATCGATTCATATTTATAAAGGCACTACAAAACGTGGTGGTACAAATTTTATTTCTTTGAAAATAAAACACTAGATGGCGCTAAGATGTTGTATGTTAATTGATCATAGATGGCGCTGATAGCATTTTATATGCTTTATTCCACATTCAAGACTGACAAAATGTAATGATAACGAAAATATTATTTGAGCAAGTTATTATTTACTCACTAAACAAATCTCGCACCCTCCTCGCTCCCTGCCCGACCAATATCTCATCGAACTCTGGCCCTGCGGCGTGGAAGAAGGGCACGCGCGCCTCGCCCGCCACCGCACGCGCCAGTAGCGTCTTGCCGGTGCCCGGCGGACCCACTAGCAACACACCTTTGGGCAATTTCCCGCCTAGGGACGAGAACTTCTCCGGGGATTTTAGGAATTCCACCTGAAAATTTATATATTTATTACTCGTATGTGCAAATGTTAAATTTGAAGATGTTTGACTCTTACGAAATTAAAAATGACAACATTTTACATAAATCTGAATGCACCAGTGTATTTCTAGCATAGAAATGTTCCTATAAAGTAGAATTTCTGTTGACTTTGATGTTTGTTGCTGTGGGACACTTTGCAGGATAGGCAAGAATGTTAGAAGCGCTATCTTATCAGCTCTTTGTTATAGTAGCTAGCACATAATGAGAGAAGTAACTGACCACATCCTTAAGTTCCTGCTTGGCCTCGTCAGCTCCCTTGACATCATCGAAGGTGACGTTGATGTCCTCGGGGTCCACCTCTACCTGGTTGCCGAGCTGGATCCTGCGCATGTTAGTCACATTCCTGCTGATTATATTTGTACTTACAAAATATAGTCCATAGAGGTTATTCGCAGATGAAAAGAAATCAAAATTAGAAATATTATTTCTTCTTTATGGAATTGACATTTATTGCTTTAATTGTTACACTCAGCCACTTAATTACTTATTACACTAAATCTACACTAAGGGAAACCACTTAACAACTATGCGATGATAAACGGTATTTAAATTAATTGCATAAAAATAATCTTTTCAAAGCTATAATTAATGAAGTTTGATGTATACCGGAAGACAGTGCCACTAACGGAGGCCATGAGGCTGACGAATATAGCCAGGAAGAGCACAATGGTCAGCAGCTGCTGCACCAGCTTCAGGTATTTTGAGCCTTTTGAAGTGCGGGCATTCTCCGGGTGCGAGCCTAGAACAGCATAACAATAAATGAGTACAAAAATTGACCTATTAGCATTAGGGCAAGTTTTTCAATTGCAATTATTCGATTGGTTAAATAGTACTATTAACTAACAATTAAAGTAATAATTGATACTAACCTGCAAGATATCCTTCAGCGAATGCAATCTTAATTTTATCCTTCTGATGACTGGTGAGGAGCTGGTCTTCTGTGAGGAGTTTCTCCAGCCGTGGCGCTACCTCGGGTCCCGTGTTACTTTGCTGCTGTTTTTCCGCACCATCACTAACATTGAGCCCTGTGTGTTTGCAGAAATATCTTGTTAATATCAATTTACAGAGTTTTAGACTTGTTTGTATCTTACAATAATAAATTTATATCCAGACATAAAATCTGTCATTTACAAAAAATAATAAAGCAAATCTAATAATTAACCTACTAATAATATTAATGTAATGCTTGGATGTATTCATATTTGTAATAAGGTATCACCAGAGGCCTAATTTTAGTTCCCTTTCCCTTTTCAACCTTTTTCCTATAAGGAATAAACAAAGAACGGGACTCATAGGTAGGGGAAATATCTACTTATGAATACACTAAAATATCTCTTTTTAGTGGCAATTATTTCCATATTATTTTATAGATGGTGTGTGTTTATTTTACTGTAATGTTTGTGTTACTAACAACAACTAACACTGCAAAAAAATGCTTATAATACTGACCGAATAACTTACGCAGTCTATTGATGAGATTAGGATTCCTTTTCAGGTCTGCATGAATACTACGCTCTGTTTTAAAATTGCGAACCTGTATTTTGTATTTGAACACATCATCATGTAATCCACTTGCAAGCAGTCCAACAAAGTTATCAGTGAATGTCAATCTCGGGCTTTTACCGCGAAAATCGACAGTTAAAGTTGGTACATGCGGTACATTCGTCCAACCATTTTTGTTCTTCTCAAATGATTCTCCTGATATATGAGACACTTTTTTTGCAGAACTTAACTGTACGACGCTTTTAACGGAATTTTTACAAGGTGTAGAAACTGTTCTAAGAGATCTTAAATTAATTTTACCCATGTCTTTTAAAACATTTATATCGAAATTGTTTACGGCTTCTTCTAGACTTTCAGGGCATAATGTGGCTTTGTAGAATCCAGGAGCGGCTTCTGTGATTTTCACATGTTTATTTTTACTGTTATTGTGCTTCTTTTGCTTGAATATACATGAATAACGAGAGGACAGCTGACTAAAGCTAATAAGAATCTGCAACAACAAAGGTTATGACAAACAAATTTTACATCAAATTTTTACGCAATATAGGTGAATTTATGTTAAACTGTACCTGGTTTTGGGAGTTTATGGAATTCAATGAAAACATGTTACATGTAGATAGTTATTATTTCCCTTTTTTTGAAGTGCACTCCAAAATTTTGTAAGTTTAGGCTTTTCTTACGTCAGTTCATAGCAAAACATGGCGAACTTCTCACTTTTTTATGACCTCTTTGGGTTAGTTGTGAAATTATAACGAACATATAAAATAAAGGTATAGGTAAGTAAGCTTATATTTTGTAATAGAAATTGTTGTCTCAGTGTCATTTAAGGTGAATATTTTTACGAAAACAAAGTGTTCGTAAAATTGCTACTTTTTTAGCGTTTATTTACTGTCAAATATTTTTGAACGCATTTATTGTTAGTGGTTCTTTCTACATTGTCAATGGTTTATTTGGACAGTAAATTCCAAAATGGCGACGAGCGATGACGAGCCTATGCATTTATATGAAGTTTTTCAAAACTGTTTTAATAAAATAGCAAATAAACAACAAGGTGAGTGAAAAAATGCATACCGAGGCCCGTCTCGCGTTCCTCAAACAAAGTGTCGCGAAATAGTGAAGTGTTTCTGTGTGAAATTCGATCAAAGTGTTCGCGTGTTATGCCATTTTCAGTGTCTAAACCGAATAATAATCTCGCAAAAACCATTCGAAAATAAGCGATTTCGTATTCAAAAATTATTTAGCACAGTTACTGGATCACTAATGTTTGTGTGAAAATCGCCAAGCTTTCCATATCTTCACCACAAGGGCTTCAAAAGGCTATGTTTTGATCACACAGTCGATTGTCAAATGTGCTCTCCATTGTGATACGATTTTGGTATCGAAGCTGAATTGTTTCAGGATTTGTTTACAATTACTCACTTTCTATCGCTGTAACCAGGTAAAGTTGTTACCGTGCTAAACTGAGAAAAATTGCGCCAAAATTACTATATATCACCGAATGTATCGAATGAACCATTGCATTTTTTGTCCATTTCGCTGGATGCGGCAAAACAAACTAAGTTGGGCTCGTTTTATCCTCGCGTTGTCCGTTTTAGATCGCGAATTGCCGTTTTTATGTTCGCTCCACGCTGAATGTTTACAATGTAATTTGTTTATTTACGCGAGTACGGCGCGTACGTCGCACGGAGCCAATGTAGCGCCTTATGGTGTCGGCTGCTAATACTTTTTATACAGACGCCAAACGTTTTTTTAATATACTACCAAAGGACAAATATATTAAATGAAACATTTCAATTAAAAACTTCATTAGTTATTTACATTGGATACTTATTTGGATACATTGGATACTTAAGGAACGATTTATTTCCCTAATTTTCTATTAAACTGCATAATTTATCTGTACAATAAATATCTTTTAAGAAACTCACAAGAAAAAGTTCTTGATGCAGATATGAAAAACACTCACACTTGTTTAACCAAACTGTGGGTAGACAGTGATTAGTTCTTACTATTAATAATATCTGACATATAAGTTCAATTAGTAAATAAACTATATAAATTAAAAGGTTATTTATTAGTATTATTATTCAAGAAAAACATTGCTTTTAGTTTAGATTCATTACTTCTTTACTTTACTCTTTGGCACTATTACTACTTTAGTTTTAATATTTACAAATTGATTAAATTAGTTAACTATATCTGAGTCAAAATATATATTTTTACTATGAATATTTAAGTGTAATTTGTGTAATAGTTTTAATTTTTACACTTCTGATATATCTATATATCTGTGTATCTCTTTCATTTCCCTGAACTGTTATATCATAATATTTACATCTATTTCTGGTATTTTACTATTAAATTAGAGATAAATAAGATAATCATATTAGATTATCTTATATCAAATTAATATTTTTATGACTAAAACTTTACTTTTCAAATCATATACTATGCTGCTAGATAAATGTATTATAAATATTTCAACTATTCAAAGAACTCATCTACCCTCATTCATGCTTTTCCTGTTAGTTGCCTTAGCTAATAATAAGTAGGCAAACTAATACAGATCACAAAATGATACTTAAAGTACATATGCCATTGATATAAACATGATATTATTTAGATCAAGGATTCATGTTGATTGATACAATGGATCTGTAGATGGTTGGACTCATTAGCCTGTCAACGGAACTTTTGATTGTACATGTCATAGCATGCAATTCCTTTTCAATTGTATGAAATTATTTAATTATACCTTTAGGCCTCAGGTGTAAAATATATTCATATTTATGTATAATTTTGTTTTAATCAATGATTTATTTTAATATCATTCAATAACTCAATAATTATTTGGACTTCTTGTATTTATAGTTTATTTTTTTGTCAATGTTTTTGTGATATAAAATCTTTTTTATTTTTTGTTTTTAAGGATATTTTTAATGGCTTTTATTTAATTGAATCTCTATTATAAGAAATGTTCTATGTATGTTATTTATTTTTAAATTGGCTACTGGCTGAAACATGTGCTGTCATAAAATAATATCTATGTCATTGACTCGAGTCAACATAAGTTTTATTACATTTACAACATCACCATATAAAATGTTTTTTATTTGCCACATCCATGGGACACTGTGTGAGTAAAATTATCCATGACTAAATCAATGTTGTTTCTTTATTGTCTTTTTACATGGTGTCGCACTTGTGTAAACGGTTTCTTAAATAAATGCATCATTTATGTACACAACTACATATATCTAGGTATATTTTAGGTATATATTCAGAATATTTTAGATATAAATATATATATAGGTATGTAAGGATACATTTGCAACTATATAGGCTGTTATATTCTCCATATGAGTTGTGTACTCCTATGCTGTTTTCTTTTGGAACACTCTAACACCAAGCTCAATAAAATAGCATGAACAAACTAGCATAAACTTTTATTTTTAAATGCTTAACTTGATGAAAAATCTTTAAAAATATAATATTTTTCTATTAAATGCTTCATTCTAAACGCTTTATTATAAAAACGGTATTGATTATTACTTTACTCTAAAGGTCCGAAAACTCTTAAAACGACGTCCAGGTAGCTGGCAACGACCGTGGTTCATAACAAGCGCTGCAGCGCGGTATTGTTTACCGCCGCCGCTTACACTAAGCTATTTCGGCGCTCGCAATATTTGTAACATGACTCAAATGATCCCCCCCAAGTGATACATTTCCTGAACTATGTACCTTTGACTTTGTTCACTTTATATTGAGACAAAATCGCGGAATATAAATGCTTTTTATTGTTAAATAAGTTAAAAAGAAAGTTTAAGTTACATGTTTTAATTTGTTTTGTTAGAAAAAATTTAAATAAGTGTATGAGATAATGTACATTGAAAACAATAGGAATTAGTAGTTAAAAATTATAGTATCGAAATTATCTTCGATAAATTGCTTGAAAACTTATGTTAGATACATCTTTTATTGAACCTAGTCACTTCTAATTCGTCATATGAAACGGGGTCGATACGTCAACCAAACATGGTCAACAATTGGTCATTATCGTAAATACGAGATTGTACGTTGATCCGCGTTAGGCGAAGACCACTCTAATTTGACTCGCCTCTCATATGTCACAAACTGTAAACGAATAGCGGGCTCAAATACACCTCGGTACATCAGTTTTCATACATACACAGCAAATACATTCAAAGCTAAGGGGAGCTGCTTTTATTCTGTCTGAAAAGAATTCGTTACTTGAGCCAACGTATCGTATCGTAATAATGTTTGTACATTATAAAAATCCTAAGTAATATTACGCAAAAGTCTGTCACTTAAAACATATATTTATCTAGATTTTTATTTATCATCTAACTGTACAACGTCGCAACTTGCATTTAATTGCTTGAGACACCATTTATTAATAGAAATATCTTTAGCGATTTAACATACATGAGTAAATGTTGTTAGACGTATTAATTATAAATCTTGTTTACATTAAAATACATTGCGTATTGTAGTATGTTGAACTTGCTAAAATGATCAAGAGTCGAGAGGGAGCTGTCTCGGCAGCTGGCGCAGACGGGGCCGCGGACGAGAGCGATGGCGTGTCCGTGGTCCCGTCCCGATGCGTTGGAGGAACAGAGAGGTTTAGTGGGTATGCCTCTGCTATGGAGGAGAATCCTACATAACTACCGCGTACCCCCCGGGGCGCGGAGTATGCATAAAGCATGCCTCTCTGGGAAAAAAAGGTCTATCAAGAGTAGATGATGTTCATTTCGCCCGTGTCCAAAAGAAGATAATAATATACTAATTAACTTTATCTGTATACTAGATATTTTATATTAGTCTTTGACACGTGTCCTGTATGTTGTTAAATCTAGAATGTTTTTTAGTTGACTCAACTGATTGGTCAAAGAGTATCTATCGTGGACTCATATCGCGACAACTTTGACCCCTAGCTAACGTGTCGTGTTGCACGTTTACCACGCCCGAATAACTTGCAAACCCCACATTAGACCTTCTAGTTCTTTAAATAGTCTGAATGTGTCCATTTCTGCTATACCTCAATTCGGTTTGTATTTTTTTGTGGCTCTTTGTTTTGATAGATGATACTAGATGAATGTTAGAATCGGAAAAATTCAGATTTATTGCCGATTACCTAAAAATAATACTGTCATTAGTAAATCTAAATAGATTACTTTTCGCCTGTCAATTTAGTCTTCCTATGTCACTAATAAAAATGTGTGGATCACCAACAATGTTCAAGAATTGTTTAGATTTTTCCTATTACGAAGCTTATACATGTGTGTGTTTTGTTTCATTTAACAAACTGCTGTGATAAAGTTCACGAATAAACTTTTAATTTATCTATATTAAAATTTAAATAATATGCTCACACGTCATAAAATGTCAAGCGTAAAATTGTTATGATTTATATTCAATACGGAAACAAATCCATAAATAATGTTAACTAATATGTCACAGTACATTGTATTTTGAGTAACGCGGGCGCTCGAACAAGCGACCGACCTCGACCGACTTGCAACCGCTGAGCCCACGGCACTCTATTACACACACCACTCACACGTTCACGTCAAATATATAAAACATTTAGCTCAAACTATTACATCTTAGATCTAGAAAAAATATTAAAGTACTGTAATTAAAATGTTTCTCAGTACCTAATAACTCGTTTGAAAATGTCTAACAATTTTATAAAGAATCAAGAGTAATTTTTTATTCTTGTAAGACGTTCACTACATGCCTTCTCTATA